AGGAGAAGGGATTGCGGCATGGCCATGCCCCCTGGGGGGTGATTTCTCGCTTTCTGTCTCTGTCTCTCTCTGTCTTTCTGGTCTTTCTGGTGAGCGCACATGCCCTATAGCAAAAACCTCTCAAAAAAAAGTAAAAAAAAAAGAAAAAAGAAAAAGAAATAAAACTTTAATAAATGCCTAAGCTTCCAGCAGAGAAATGAGGTAAGATGGATGAAGTGTAAGAAAAAGATGGCAGGAACTTACAGAAGATTTTCTACTTAGAAAAGTAAAAAGGCAGTCAACCTTCTGAAGCCAGTGAGGCTCTGGAAATCTCTGAACCGAATTCCAGATGGTGCAAGTCCTGGACTTAGTGGCTTGAGGTACATACCAGGTGCATGTGTGTGCATGCCCAAAAATCCCAAGAGAAAGATGAAGGAAAAGGGATTGTGGCATGCCCATCCCCCCCAGGGGGGTGATTTCTCACTTTACCTCTTTCTTTCTGTCTCTCTCTGGAAAGTGCACACATCCTATAGTAAAACTAAAAATAAATAAATAAAGAACGAACAAAGGACAAGTGTTGGAGAGATTGTGGTGAAGAGAACCCTCTTACACTATTGGTAGAAATGTAATTTATTGGGTTGTTGGAAAAGTCATGATGTATTTTTCTGTTTTTCTACACAAAAATACATCATTACTTTTCCGACAACCCAATAGTGCAGCCACTGTGGAAAACAATACAGAGGGTCCTCAAATATTTACAAATAGAATACCATATGACTTGGTAATTCCACTCCTTGTTATTCCCCCAAAGAACAGGAAAACTCTCAGTCTTAAAGATATTTGCACATCCCTGTTTATTGCATCATTATTCACAATAGCTGAGACATGGAATCAACCTAAGTGCCCAACAATTGATGACTCAATTTTTTAAAAACTGGCATATATACACAGTGGAATACTACTCAGCCATAAAGAACAGCAAGATTGGGACCAGCAGTTAGCATAATGGCTATGTTGCTGGACTCCCACATAGTCGACCACGGTTTGCGTCCCAGACCCAGTGGCTTAAAATCACGCCGGGCGCATGTGTGTGCGTGCCCAAGATCCCGAGAGGAGAATGGAGGAGAAGGGATTGTGGCGTGGCCATCCCCGCTGGGGGGTGATTTCTCGCTTTCTATCTCTCTGTCTCTCTCTGTCTGGCTGGTGAGCGCACGTGCCCTATAGCAAAAACCTCTCCAAAAAAAGAAAAAAAAAAGAACAGCAAGATTGATATTCAATACAAAGTGAATGAATCTAGAAGATTTAGTGCTAAGTAAAATAAGCCAGACTGAAAAACAAACACCATATGTCTCCATTCAATATGTACCCAATGTTCTGCACTCTATAGCAGAAACCAGAAGGTTCAAAGACATAGAAATAGAGGGGACAACTATAGATACTAGAGCTTGCATGGGATGGGAGTAAATGGTTGGGAATTGGTGGGAGGGGGGTCAGGACAAAAGCATTTAACAGACATAAGAAGGTAAGGTTCTGGGACCAGCAGGTGGTGGGGTGATTAAGGTGTTGGACACTCCCACATGGCCAACCATGGTTCCAGTCCCGGACTTGGTGGCTTGCTTTCTCACTTTCTCTCTCTCTGTATCTCTCTCTGGTCAGATTATAATAAATGATTGAATAAATTAAAAATTAAATAAATAATTCTTTTTTAAAATAAAAAGTAAGGTTCTTTGTTGAGAATGACCTATGTGGAAATGTTCTTGATTTTATTATCACACACTGCATACATGCTTTGAAAAAGTACATTGTACATCATTAAGTATAAATAAATTATAAAATAAAATTAGAAAAAATATTTTACACAGGACTTTTTGAAAATTAGAACAATCCGTTATTGTACTTTATGAAAAATAGATGCTAGAAATGATTAAGGTTTTTGTCATTACTTATTTTAAATTTTTTTAAAAATTGACACGGCTGACAGCGTGCATGGCATGGCAGCAGCAGCAGTGCACGCCTGTGGAGAAGGGACGCCAGCTGGGTCAGGCTTCTGCATGACCTACATGCTTGGTTTGCCCACTCACGCCCTGCACCAGGCCACCAGGCCATCGCAGAGCCCTCACCTGCCTGGCCTGGTGCCCCTCATCGAGTTAGAGTTGTACTTCCTCATCGTTGGGTGCCTATTGGTAGGCTTGTGCAGGAGAGTGGTCCAGGTGCTAATCAAGTAGCTGGAGCCGTACCAGTTGTTGCCAAAGAGGTTAGACAGGGTGCGCAAGGAGCACAACAGGAGCTATGAGGAATTTACGAGGAATTTGTGTTGTCCAATAAGCATGTGGCTCCTGATCATCTGTTGTAAATCTGCCAGCGCATCGGCCTTATGTTAGATAAAGAAATTACACCCAGTGTTTCAAGAGTCACTTCTTTACTTGGAATGAGAAGGCAGTCTTTGCCACTTACAGCAAAAGGTACCTTTGCTGTAGTATGTTTGAAGAAGTGTTCTGCTTTGGATTAATAGCTTAATAATTATTATAATTGTGAAGTAAGGTAAGCATTATGAAAGAAAGGTGATATGTAACTATAAATAATGCTGTAGACTATAATATTCTCTCCATTTAGCACTGAACATTTTATTACTTAAATGTTTAATATGTTTTCTACATTTAAATTAATGATAAAGAGGGACAAGCAGATGGCGAAATAGTTACATAGCTGGACTCCCACATAGTCGGCCATGGTTCAAGTGCTGGACCCAGTGGGCTTGAAACTCATGCCAGGCATGTGTGCCTACTTGCCCAAAATCTCAAGAAGAGAATGGAGGAGAAGGAATTGTGACATGGCAAACTCCCTGGTGGGTGATTTCTCGCTTTCTGTCTCTCTGTCTCTCCAGTGAGTGAATACACCCTATAGCAAAAATCTCTAAAAAATTATTAAAAGTAATAAAGATATAGATGCTAAGCTAAAAAGCTTGAATTTATTCCTTTTTTTTTTTTGAGAGGTTTTCGCTATAGGGTGCGTGCGCTCGCCAGCCAGACAGAGAGAGACATAGAGACAGAAAGCGAGAAATCACCCCCTATTTATAAAACTATTCATTCAGCTATGCAATAAATTTTTAATTGTCAGAAGGTGAGTGTGCTTACCAAATCTGGAGAAAGAAGCAGCCGTCAGTGGGGTGTAGTCCTGCTGTAATCTTTTTTCTCCATTCCTTCAGCCTGTCAGGATTTTGGTCACACATGCACATGCACTCAGCATGTTTTTTGGGTTTTGTTTGTTCGTTTGATTGATTGATTTTTTTTGGAGAGGTTTTTGCCACAGAGCACATGCGCTCACCAGAAATAGAGAGACAGAGAGACAGAAAGCGAGAAATCACCTTCCAGGAGGGATGGCCACACCACAATCCCTTCTCCTCCATTCTCCTCTCAGAATGTTGGGCACGCACGCACACATGCCTGGTGCGAGTTTAAGCCACTGGGTCTGGGACACGAACTGCAGTCGACCACATGGGAGTTCAGCAACATAGCCATTACATCAACTGCTGGTCCCTCAACGTGAGTTCTTAATTTTCCATTCTGTAGCTTACTTATAACTTCATAGAATATAATTGTATTTGTCTAATAAACTCTTTAAATACTAGAAATATTTCACTTGATATTAAGATTTTAAAAAGTCCTTTCATAAGGGAAAGTGATTTTCTAAATTTAGTAGCAGTTTGAAAATAAGCACCAAATACATAAAATTGTATGGTTCTTCTTTTTTTTTTTTT